GGGCTGGGACCGGATTTTTTTTAGCAGGCAGCTGGGCTGCAACTGTGTGTTAATTGGGCTGTGGGTTGCACTAAAGCTTCTCAACAGAACAGCTGCAAGAATTTTTTAACTATGAGCAAAACAATGTATTTCCGCCCTAGCCTCATTCTCAGAAATGGCTGAACCATTTTTCAGAACTTCATAAACAAATGTAGCTTAAGGTAGTCATCTTGCATAGAGAATTTCAGCCCAAACAGTTGGAGTTTGGCAAAGTAATAAGCAACTAAAAATAGGTCTTATAGTGGGAACTGTCAGACAACCTTAACCATATGCTGCACTCTAGCTCCACCTAGAATAGAAGACCTTAGACGGACATGGAATTTTGCAGACATATAAAAAGATATAGTCCCTACCCCAAAGAGTTCACAGTCTAAAGTTTTGATCCTGAGGTGTGCTGTACACTGGCACTTCCCTTTGAGCTAAAGGGCAGAGATACAGGGAGGAGTCATACTGTGGAGAGCCTTGAGCATGAAGATGAGGAGTTTATACTTAATGCAGAATGACCCTGGGAAGCCAGCAAAGGCATTCAAACAGTGGAATAACATGAACAAAGCAGTGGGCAAGGAAGATGATTTTAGCTACAGCATCTTGTAGGGATTGCAGATGGGAGAGTGAGAGGTACGAAGGCCAGAGACAAGGAGGTTTCAGTACTTGAACAGAGAGATGATTAGGACATGGCCAGAGTTTTATAAATAGGGTGAAGAATACAGGGCATACTATAAAGAAGAGGTAGAGGGAGAACCAGCGGAGCCTGGACAGAGAAGGAAAGAGATCAAAGATAACCCCAGTGTTATGAGTAGGTCAGGGAGAAAGGGGAGAAAAAGCCATGCAAGTTCTTTCACTAACATTTGCCTCTTCTCTGAGCTCACAAAACCTCTATGACACAGGAGCAAGTTTTACCAAGTGTCAGCATGTTGATGGAATTCCACCTGAGAATTGTCTTGGGGCTAAAGTGACTCTGAGCATTTCATGGCAAACTTTCTACATTGCTACTCAGAATGTCAAGCTGAGTTTGTTGTTTGAGGTTGATCATATAAGACCTCCGATGGGGAGAGCCTACCGGGAGGGCTAGTTGCTGCTGTCTTCATGCATTCTTTCAGGGAGGTGGGCCACCTTTTGCTTGCTGTCTCTTAGCCAGCCAGCACCAAATGTTGGTGGCAGTGAGTGGCCTGGGTGCAGTGTGCGGAAGAGGGCTCTTTATCACTCCCCTCCTTCAAAGGACCATCCAAGAGCTGAGGAGGCAGTGGCCCAGCCTCGGGCCCCTTCTCTTCCTAGAGGACATCAGACTGGAGAGTGATCCATCCCCTGAAAATGTCAAAGAAGAGGGAGTAACCACAGACCATTCCCTGTTAGATTTCATTGGGCAGTGGTGCAGAGAAGGCCCTGTAGGAGTGATGTGGAATGAACTGTGTGGACAAAGAGCTGCATTGAAGGTGATATGTCCTAATAGTTCCAAGAAACATCTAAATCTTGACCTTATTTACATTCCTCATCCTATCGGATGAAATATTTTGAGAACCGAGCAGTGGGGATGGCCCATGAGGGGAATGAACTGGTTCATTGCTAGGAAGAGGGGAACCAACAAGCGATTTCCTGTCTAGTATCTTCTCAGTTTCATTTCCTTCGTCTGTTTTCTCTCTCCTTCTCTGTGGAAGAAAAAGGGAGATGGGTCACATCCCATGCCTCTTTATATACCAACTCCAGGGCTTAGAAAACTTAGCACTTAATCTCCTGCAAATATTCTCCAACTTTGCTATTCCACAGGGGCAACATCAAAAAATACTTTAAAAGGAGACAGTTTGTCAGCTATTTGTAGGTCTTCATTGAGCAAAGTGTTCTCCAACATCTGCTCATCAGTCAGCTATCCCTAGCCTGAGCAAACCTGATGGAATGAGTGGCAGAAAGATGACATTGTTTTATGCAACAAAAGTAAATTTACTGGAAAAACTCTGCAGCCTTCTAGCTGGTGCTTGCTGTGTATTATATGTAATCAGTGGTCTCTTCCAATTGATTGCTCACGCTGGAACCTAACCATCCAAACGTAGAAACCGAATACAAGAGAAAGCCCGGGAACTTTTTTTGAATGCTGCATTTATTTATTTATTTATATTCCCCAGGGTTTGATAGACATCTCTATGGAAATTTGCTGCTTTACTCTCTGAGTAGCATGTGGCTTAGGCAAGCGGTGACATAGCACATGGAGTGTGGAGAATATTCAAGGCAGTGGTCACAGTGAATAGCCAACTAGCAATGGCTGAAACCCATTTGTGTGATTCATCCACTGAATGATTTTATAAAAGAGGAATAATAATTCTTTCCTACTTCACAGGTGATTTGCAAGAATCAGTTCATATTGCAAAGTGCTTTGAGATCCTCACGTGGGAGTGAAAATATAGCAAAAATTCCCATGATTTCCCATCATTTATTTGCTATACAGCTGCCATACCGTAAAAATTGTTTGGCTGTGAATCAGGATGTTCCACTTCCTCGTGTCATTTCATCCTTAGAATGAGAGGGGGAAACCCAAGGAGATGAGTCATCGAGTTCCAAAGCAGGTCCCTGGAAGAGCTGAAACTCAGATTCATCAACTGTGTAATGTATTCCATGATCAAACCCTAGGCTAAGGGAGGAAGAGAGGATTGTCTCCAAAGGCAGCTATGGTCTGGTCTGATACGATGTTAGCTAAACCGGACATTTAGGAAGTTGGCCATTAGCCAGGATGTCTCAAGTCATGTTTATAATTCCATCATCCTTTTAAAGTTGTCATTCCAGGAAACCACTTTGTGAACCCAAAGTGCAGTTTATTACCCCTTTCTAATATTTTTCATTGTTTAACATCAGCTGTGTGTCACTAGCTAGTGGTTCATCTGCATGACTCAGTTCCCAAATTCAGCTGTTCAACTGGACCTTTCTTTATTTTGTGGGGCAAGGAAACCAAGTACAAGGTTTCAACTTACAGGGTGTCAGTTTTTATTGTTTAAAATTAGGAGGCCTCAAGTGAGAGTGTGGCCCCACTGTGCCCAGCAAAGTCTAGAATTTAAATAGACAACACAAGCAAATAGTGTGAGGGAAAACAGACGTCGAGAGGCGAAGTGATGTGCCCAAGGTCACGCAGAAATAGCAATAGAACCCAGGTCTTCTTACACCCCAGGCAGTGCCCGCTGTGCTAGACTGTGCTCCTCCAACCAGTAAAGTTTAGATTTCTTGTGCCTCAGATAAATACTCAGATAAACTGGTGGACTGGTAAGAAAGAAATGATCTGCAAGTAGGAAGGCAAATAGAGGCTTGTGTGTTCTATCCCTTTCCCATACCTCCTGTCTATCTTGTTTATTTAGATTGTAAACTCTGCAGGACAGGGACTGTCTATTAATCTATGTTTGTACAGTGCCTAGCACAATGGGGCCTGTTCTCAGTTGGTCTCTAGGCACTTCTGTAATACAAACAACAATTAATAGTAATAATAAGAGGCTGAGGGAGAGGAAAAAAGGATGATCTGGTAGCTGTGACACTAGACTGGGATTTAGGAGAACTGGGTTCCGTTTGCAGCTATTCCACAGACTCACTTTGTGGCCTTGAGGAAGTCACTTAAACTCTCTCCACTCAGTGTCACATCTGGGGACAATAATTCATCCTCTTTCTCCCAGTCTTCATCTGTCTAGGCTATTTACACTATAACTTTTCCAGGGCAGGGACTGTCTTTTACTCTGTTTGTACAATGCCTAGCACAACGGGACCGCAGTCTCAGTTAGAAGTCTAGGCAGTCCTAGAATACACATAATAAATAATACATTAAATAATAAAAGATTATTTAATAATAAAACAGTAGCCAAGAAAATGGGAGAAACTTCCTCTCTCAATTCCACTGGCATAACCCCCTTGACTTTAATGCACTAGTGTAACTGAGGAGAATCTGGGAGAATAGAAAGGAGGGGAAAGAGAAATGAAAATGTTGCTGTTTCCTTCCTCCAAGATGACATTTAACCATCGGCTTTTAGCTTCCATCACTGCTGTTCCCTCGTTAGGCAGCCAATAAACTGAAACCACCATCAACCCTTTATTTTTTTGTTTTGTTTTAACATTCAGAGTTCCCACACACTGACATTTGCAGAACAGCAAAACCTCCTGCCTTTGTTTCTCATACACAGGCAAATAAATAATGGTGGGATAAACCACGTTGCGTTCCAAGTCAGGGATGTCCCATGAGATTTGGAGAGGTGGCACAATGCCTTTGCCTAGCAGTAGGTCTCAGATACCTTGTGCTCAGTGCAGTAGCAGTGGGAAGGATGGTTTCCATTAATGGAATATTCTGCAGCTTGATTGGCTGCTTCCCTGTGCCGATGACTGTGGCTGTGGAGGGGAATGAGAGTGGCCAGCCTATCGGAAGATAGACCCGTGCAGCTGTCGCAGTAGGATGGTGTGCCCTTGATCAAGGTGTGAAAATGTGGCACCTTTTCTGGGGACAATGTTTGCAGCAAGAACCAAAACGGATGGATTTGTATGTGTGGCGGTAATTTTTAAAGGGACTGACGATGGCAGAAATGAGTAACCAAATCCCTTTACAGTATGAAGGGCCAAACTGGAGCTTGCTCCTCTCTGCAGCATTGGTAGAGATAGGAAGGCACCGAGCAGTGTTGGCTAAGCTCTTTTCAGGAGTACTCCCTTTTCACAGAAGGTGCAGGCAGAGTGCGCTGGGAGTGCGGGGTAGCTCTCTGTATTGCCCTCCCTATACCTACTTTTGAATGGATCAGCATGTACTTCACTGCAGCTTTTGACCAAGACTAGCAAGCCTATCAGGATGGCAGGGCCCTGCCCATGTTCCAAAGAAGCAGCTTTGTCATACCCCAAGGGGCCAGAGAGCGCAGGGGATAGTAACTTTTTTTATCTGTTGCTGTTTCCAAGGTCCGTCTGGCATCGTGAGTGTTTTGGGTTATTTTACAACTTCCTCCTCTTTCTCCTCGCAGGGTTACTTAAAGCAGTGCCGGAAGAGGAGAGACATGTTCAGCGATGAACAGTTAAAGGTCATATTCGGCAACATCGAAGATATCTACAGGTTTCAGATGGGTTTTGTCCGGGACTTGGAGAAACAGTATAACAATGAGGACCCCCACCTCAGTGAAATTGGACCTTGTTTCCTGGAACATGTAAGTTTTTAGAGGGAGTGAGAAGGCAGGAGCCATTTCACATGACTGGATCTTCACTGTTCTGGGTGGTGGGTTCCTCAGATTACAGACCAGAGGCTACCTTGACTATTGGTTTCTTGTTGCTAGATGTGGAAATGGGCAAACTTCAGAAGTGATGCATAAAGTTATAGGACGTAGAAAAAATAGTCAGTGAATCTGCTCAACATCTTACATGTCTTGACCCAATTGCAAGGAGTTCGAGGAATGAACAGGAAGAACTGGAAGTACTAGTACTTAGTAGCTAAATTATGATGTCCTAGGCATCACTGAGTCTTGGATAAATCTCATGACTGGAATATTGGTATAGAGGGGGATAACTTGTTCAGGAAGGACAGGTAGGGAAAAAAGGGAGGAGGTGTTGTATATATTCTTGATGTATAATACACTTGTTCTAAGGTCTAGGAGGAGGTGACAGGCAGACCAGTTGAAAGTCTCTGGATGAAGATAAAAGGGGGGGTGGGCGGGAAAGCAGGGACAGCATCATGGAAGGGGTCTGCTACAGACCAACAAATAAGGAAGAGAAAGTTGTTGAGGCATTTCTAGAACAAATAACAGAAAAACCAAACCACAAAAACTAGTAGGAATGGGGGGCTTTAACTATCCAGACATCTGTTGGAAAAGTAATATGGCAAAACACAAAATTTCCAGTAAGTTCTTGGAATGTATTGGGGACAATTTTTTGTTTCAGAAAGAGGAAAAAACCAGGGCACAGCCATTTTAGACTTGATTCTTACCAACAGGGAGGAATTGGTAGTGAATCTGAAGGTTGAAGGAAATTTGGGTAAGAGTGATTATGAAATGATAGATTTAGTGATTCCAAGGAAAGGAAGGAGTGAAAGCAGCAGAATAAGGAAAATGAACTTTAAAAAAGCAGATTTTAACAAACTCAGAGAACTGGAAGGTAAGGTCTTATGGGAAGAAAATCTAAGAGACAAAGGTGTTCAGGAGAAATGGCAAAGATACGGTATTAATGGCGCAACAGCAAACTATCCCAATGCAAAGGAAAGACAGAAAGAACAGTAAGAGGCCAATATGGCTCCATCATGAGCTATTTAATGACCTGAAAATAAAAAAGGAATCCTTCAAAAACTGGAAACATGGGGAAATTGCTAAGGATGAATACAAAAGAATAGTACAAGAGGTTCTGACTGTTACATCACTTATTCCTCTATGCGTCAGTTTCCCCATCTATAAAATGGCTACACTACTTACCTGACAAATGGGTTGCAACACTTGATTAGCTAATTTTGGTAAAGTGATTTGAGAGCCACAGTTCCAAATGTATTATATTACTACAAAGTATCATCATCATCAGTATCCCTCATATCAAAGTGCAATCTAATCTAAATCAACCAATAGTGTTCCACAGAAGTGAAATAGGGCTCTATAGAGATTATTCATATAGAATTTAATAAAGAATGAGATCTTTTCCTTTGTCTTTTAAAATCACACTGTGGTATATAAGGGATAGAAACCTTTATTCAGTATTACAGGATTGTTTAAAAATGTTGCAAAAAAGTTATCATTCTCTATTTAATTCTGAAGGCCTTTTCCAGAAGAGGAGATTATTATTATTATTTATTGTTATTTATTAATAATAATAATAATAATAATAAATACATAAATACATAAATAATAATATAATAATGTGGCTACCCTCCAAGCTAAATTTCATGTCTGACACTTTTTAAATGATTTTTTAAAAATCAAGAGTTTTGGCAGGGATAGAAACCTTCATGCTCCAGGGCATAAGCTGATCTCTGACTAATATAGGTTTGGAAGACTCTCCCAGTGGGCATGTTGTCCTGGAATGGCCTTCTGCAGGGTTTCTTGCACCCTTCTATGAAGCCACTGGTACTGGCCACAGTTAGAAATGGACTATTTATCTGAGCCTGTCTGGCATTTCCTACATACCTGTGTTCTTCAGGTACAGGGGAGACCAAAATTTAACTGTATGGAAGCAATTTACAAATACCTGGCTCACCATATGGAAAGTTTTCTTCAAAAAATGGTTCTAAAAATAAATGTCAATCTGTTCTCAGACCTGTATTAAAGTCAAGAACCCGAGTTGTTTAAAAAAAATCTCAACCCAAGAAACCTGGCATTTCTAATTGCACGCCAACTGAGCGGAACGTTTTGTTGCAATGTAAGCTGTCAATGGATTGATTCACAAGAAAGGAAAACACATGTTCGGAGTCTTGGCTGTAGCAACACGGCACATTTGGAAGGAATACGAACCCATCTGACTTTGTACCCCCCTTCCCCTTGTGACTGTGTTTCTCTGCTGTGTGGAAGGATGCTGGCCCACCAGGCCTCATGCTGCCTAAGTGACAGCAAGGCAGCAGATAGCTTACTCATGCTAAACACACAGTAGCTGACAATAAAGCGCTGGAGGCTTTAACCCACCCCATCTTGCCTGTTACATAAGCTGTATATTACGGGAGCTGATAAATTGGCCAGTGTTGTAAATATGTCAAGAAAATTACAGTTCTGCTTTTTTAGGCTTTCCTTTAGGGAGAACGAAGTGCTATATCGGAGCTTATGTAAGAGATGCTCTGATCCAGGATGTGAATCCTTTTATGTTGTACCTGGGCTGAGCTACGTTTCACCTCAGCAACACTTCAGTTTCATTAGAGAATCTCATTGGAGACATTAATGAAATTTCAGTGGGACACCATTAAAACCACTCGCAGCTTCTACTAATTGCTGCTGGCCTTTGCTGCAAAGAACATCTTTCTTTTTTGATGGACAGTATTATAATAAAAACATCCCTCTTTATATATCTAACGGTGGTGCTGAGATGCTCCAGTGATAGGCATGTTAGAAATCTGCAGAGGGCCAACAGACTGGAAAACTCATAGTTTGAAGTCGTGGGAGAGTTTCACTACTGGGCTATATTCTCATGGTGGGGGACTAACCCCCTCCTGCAGACAGGTGGGAGAGTTTGAAGGAGGGGAACTGTGAGGCTCTTCTTGAAGGGTTTCCCCCAGGTTATTCTGATGGAGGGAAGCAAGGTGTTTGGCTCCTCAGAACTCCCGCATTCCTTGAGCTCCTGGAAGCACAGGGTCATCTGTCTGGAGTCTCTGTGCCTTCACGGTGGTTCTGGGGCCACGTTTCCTGATTCCCAGGTTCTTGTTCTATCCAGGAAGCCTGTCGTGTTTAAGGAAGTAAAATTGGAGCAAAACAGGTAGTACAAAAGGCAGAGAGAGCAAACTGATCACATGCAGGGGTCAGAATGACATTTTCCCTTCATGTACGGCATGAAGGGAATGCGATTTCTGGTCCCACCCAATTATGTAATAAGCATTGCACTACTGGCCAAGTGTGTTTAAGGAGTGAGCGTCTCCGTCCTGTGCATCATTTGATAGCAACCACAGCTTGCATGCAGCATATCAAAAACTGGTCTTGTGGCTGAGATGTAGGACTGTGACTCGCATACGTGGGTTCAGTTCCTGTCTCTGTGATATTGGGTGTTCTCTTAATCTCTCTGTGCCTTAGCTTCCAATGTACTTGTATGTATCCTTTTCTCCTACCTCTGTCTGTATAGCCTTTAAGCTCCTAAAGGCAGGACTGCTCCTATTACTATGTGTTTATACCATGTCCAGCACAATGGGACCCTGACAGAATCTAGGCCGGCCTCTCGGCAAAGTAATACAACTAAATACTAATACTAACAGACTTGATGGACTAGTGCAAAGGAGGAAGAGGTGGTCTTGTGATCAAGGTGTGGTACGAGGGGTGCTGGACCAGTTTTTATAGTGGGGGTGCTGAAAGCCATTGAACCAAACTGTAAACTCTGTATATAATAGAAACCACTTCAAGCCAGGGGGTGCGGCAGCACCTCTAGCTCCAGCACTTGTGTTTGGTACTGTCTTGGTGTGTAACTGTAGGCAAGTCCCTTCACCCCTTCATGCCTGAGTTTCCCCATTGGTAAAGCTGGGATTACGGGATATTCAAACCTATCGCACGTGGGTGGGGTGAGGCTTAACTCAAAGATTTGTCAAACACTTTGGGGAGCACTTGCTGGAAGGCACTCTGCACCTACCATTATTACCGTGCTGCGTGTGCTGCCAAAGGCCAGAGCTGTGACTCAGTGTCACCTTTGCCATTTTAAAGAAAGAAAACCCCATCTCTTGAGATGAAACAGAAAGCTCCCACATGGCTCTCTTAAGGGATCATCTTACTACACTATTGTATCTCAAATATACCTGCAACAATGTGTCAGTGTAACGGATTCCCCGCAGAGACACAGTGCTAATTGAGTGCTACACAGAGAACAGGACAAGGCCTGCATGCTAGTAATCCAACATCAGACCTTTCTGCTGCTGCTGCTGGGGTGTTTTTCTTTTATTTGTTGTCATTTATTCTTTAGTGTGACAAGCAGTTGTCTGATGCACTCTCCTCTCTTCCCTCTGTCTCTTTCTGTGTTCTTTCCCCCCACCCTCACCTCTCGCAGCAAGACGGGTTCTGGATCTATTCGGAGTACTGTAACAATCACTTGGATGCATGTATGGAGCTGTCCAAGCTGATGAAAGATGGCAGGTATCAGCATTTCTTCGAAGCATGTCGTTTGTTGCAGCAGATGATTGACATTGCCATAGACGGTTTCCTTCTGACACCAGTGCAGAAGATCTGCAAATATCCCTTGCAACTGGCAGAGCTGTTGAAGTATACTGCACAGGATCACAGGTAATTAGATGCCTTTTTTTACTGTACTGGTGTTTTTGATGGCTTTTACTAACTGAGGACTTTTGGTAGCCTATTTCTTTACATGGCATCTACACACACTAAATAACAAAGGGTTTTCTCTCTTACCTCTTCTTGCATCCAGCTGTTTCACTTCATGATAACTTGTTAAAATTAAGGCAGGGCAGAGGTTCAGCAAACTAGATAGAAAGCCTGCCTGAAGCACTTATTCCCAGTGGAACCAAATTGAACTCCATTGTAGTCAGAGACCTGAAGTAACGATAGTTAGCTGTAATTTTAGATGCTACCTGCTACTCTAGATGAATTATTGATTCATGTACTTGGTTAAGAGACATTAGCCAAAAAGGTTTGTTTCCCTCTCCTGACAGTGAACTCATCACCGCTGGGAATGGGAGCACGTCCCATGTTTGGATAGAAATGGGCCAGACCAGTAACTTGGATCTGAACTCCCTACATCTGGGGGGAAATCAGATCCTGATCTGATTGTCGCAGGTTGTGTCTGTCACTGGTTTGGGATTCTGGGTTTGGATGTGAGACGCACACAAGAGTTTGTATGTTTCGCTGAACTAGAGCTGGCCAGGAATTTTTCATCAGAATGATTTTCTGATGAAAAATGCCATTTTTGCAAAACTGAATTTTTCTCTGGGAAAATTTAAATAATGTCTGCCCGCCTGGACGACTCGTATCAGTTTCACTTTCTGCTTGCGCTAAGGCTGAGCACCCTGACTTAGGGTCCAACTCTTGTGTCTTATTCTCCTTTCCAGTCCCAAAACATTGTGAGATCACAATGGCATTTGCTGTTTTGTGATGTAAAAACAGGCTTCTGACTTAATGTAGGGAGAGGCAGCCTCAGGGAGGAGGACTCTGTGATTCCTCGTAGGTAATTAGTACTAATATCAATGGCGAGATGTACAGTGTGATTACACCGAGAGTAAATTACATTTTGGGGTTCAACATAGTTTAAAGCATTCCTTTTTCATTGAGGGCTCTTAAAATTACTATGTGATTATATAATCGGGTAGACCATGCATGTTGTGATGTTCTGAGGGAATCAATGCATTCCTGTGGTTAAGCTACAATCGTCTGAGACAGAGGCCTTGTCTACACTCCCACTTTATAGCGCTGCAACTTTCTCGCTCAGGGGTGTGAAAAAAACACACCCCTGAGAGCTGCAAGTTTTGGCGCTGTAAAGTGCCAGCGTAGACAGTGCATCAGCGCTGGAAGCCGTCCCCTCATGGAGGTGGTTTTTTATAGGGCTGTGCTGCGACTACACAGCCACATTAAACGCACACACACATTGCTAGTGAAGACATATCTAATGTCTTTTATATCTAATATTTTTTTATATCTAATATTTTTATATTGATGTAAATCTGGAGCCACATCACTGGAGATACTTTGGATTTACACTGGTGTTACTGAGATCAGAACCTGGTGCCAGGTATAAGTACCCAAGTTCATCAAAAGCGCATTAGTTATATGGGGTAGTGTGACAGGTAGAGAATTTTAAAAATACTTTTAGGTATTTAAGTACTGCAAAGACACAGCTGTGTGTTAGCAAGGAACTGGGAGTCAGCATAGTGTCAGTGATCTGAGAACAGGACAATTGTTTATTGGACAATTCACTTAGCTGCTTTGTGTCTCCCTTTCCCTATCTGTAAAATGGGGATAATACTTTCCTTCCAGGCATTAGCAAAAGGAAGGCCGTTTGAACATGTAAAATGCTATATGTGTGAAATTCACACCTGCACAGTAGGCCATGACAAGAGCTAAGCCCTAATTCCACTCTGCAAGCATTAAGTATTACTAGCCATATGGGTGACCCTCAAAAAGTTTGTTGGTTCAGTTTGCTTTGAAGAGGCATCCAAACGCTTGGTGGGTGTTATCAATAGCTGCCCATTGTTTCTAGACAATGCCCATTGCCTCTTATTCAAAGGTCTTAAAGCCCTTCTGAGATATTACTCAGTTATAAGGGTCTCAAATAGGGATACAGAGGCACAGCGGGGTTAAATGACTCACCAGAGGTCTGCATCAGATCCTTGTAGAGAACCCAGGTCTCCCTCTCTTTTTGGAGTTTGAAATTTCTCTGCTGCTGCATTGTCAGGTTTTCCATTAACATCACTTTGGGGTTAGTGCTTAGGTTAATAATTGCCTGAGAAGTAGATCGAAACATGAATAATTATTAAGGGATTGACATATACAGAAAAAGAGTGATGTGACCGCAGTTGGGGGTGCAATCTGTACCAGTACAAAGATAGAATGTAGGCTATGGCTACACTATAGACTTTCCAGTGGCACAACTGTACCACTGCAGCTGCACCGCTGTAAGGTCCCCCGGGTAGCTGCTGTATGCCACTGGGAGAGAGCTCTCCCATCGGCAGAATTAACCCACTCCCAATGAGCGGCAGTAGTTATGTCGGTGGGAGAGCGTCTCCTACCGACATAGCGCTGTCCACACTGGCCCTTCTGTCGGTGAAACTTATGTCCATCAGGGGTGTGTTGTTTTTTTTCAAACCCCAATGGACAAAGTTTTACTGACAAAAATGCTAGTGTAGACATAGGGTACATCTACACTACCCGCCGGATCGGCAGGTAGCAATCGATCTATCGGGGATCGATTTATCGCGTGTAGTGTAGACTCGATAAATCGATCCCTGATTGCTCTCCTGTCGACTGCTGAACTCCAGCTCGGTGAGAGGCAGAAGCAAAGTCGACGGGGGAGCCACGGCCATCGATCCCGCGCTGCGAGGACACGAAGTAAGTAATTCTAAGTCAATCTAAGATATGTCGACTTCAGCTACGCTATTCTCGTAGCTCAAGTTGTGTATCTTAGATCGATCTCCCCCCCCACACACACCCCTAGTGTAGACCAGGCCATAGCCTTAATTTCTAAAATATCTAACATCTCTAAAATTTCTAATATACCTAATATATCAATTTTTTTGTGCCCACAGGTCAGGTTGTTAGATATCCTAAAGCTATTATCCATACCCCAATGTGTTTAATCCCAATTTGATTGTGGGAGCAAAGCTGAAGGAAGAAAATTATCTGGTGGATTGATGCTCATCATGGGCCAGATTGTTAGTCCCATTACTTCTTGCGTAGTAAAGTCCTACTCAGAGGAAGAGACTAATTACTCGGAATGAGCCAGGGTCCCATGTAAGGAAGGATCTTTGCATCATTTGTGAGTGGATACCATTAGATCTTTTCCTCTCTGGTTAGCTGAAATCATTCTCTTATTGTATCACTATAGATCTACTATATATAGGTCCAGGACAATGGGCCTGCATCCAAATTCCTGATCATTCCAGCCCAAGTTAGCACATGACATTTTGGCAAGAGCCCACACTTGCATTCTCACTGAGCATTGAAAGGAAGTCATTGCATCCCAAATATATCTGACGAGCAATTTATCGGCCTTAATTTTATTTTGAACGCTATCCTAATATTAATCCACCAGCCAAATGCTTTCTTCTGCCATTTTTCTTCTAGGTTCTTTGTCAGCTCAACCGCAGACATGGGCTCAGAGCCCAGAAAGTTCAGTCAGTGATTCTTGCTTCATTAATGTACGAAACGAAAAATGTACCTGCTGTTTCCTCTTCAAATGGAACATTAGAATTAGTAAATTAGCGTTACCAGTATAAAGCCCAGCTTCATTGGCACCAGCCCACTCCACGTGGAGGCAGGCTTGGGGGTGTTTTAAAATCTTGGCTCTGTTCAATTGTTCATTGTCTATGGGCCAGTTCATCTGATTTTTTCACAAAGGCACATCTGTTCAGCGTCCCAAGATTGAAACCAGTTTAATATTCATTAAATAGCTGAAGGTCATAAGTTCAACATTGCCTTGTGAGCAACTGGCATTGGAAGGCCACTGTGCAGTGATTTCATCAGGTTCCCTGATTCGGAGTTTCAGTGCAAATAAGAAGTTGGTTTGGAATCAAAGGCAACCAGAGTTTTCCTGGACGCTTGGCGTTAGGAGTAGTTTTCATAATTTTTATAAAAGTGTAACTTCCTTCCATTGCTATGCAGGTAGTAACTAGGGCCTGACCCTTCAGGTGTGTCTATTGTGGGCTCATTGGGAATGCTGTCAACTCAATTAAAGAAATTAATTTCTACGCTATGGGATATCATGCTGTTGTGAGAATAGTCCCAAATGTCCCTTCCTGCAGATCAGAACCAGAATTAAGTGTATGTGTGTGTATTGGGGTGAGGGGGAGCTGTTCTAATCCTTGAAGTGAAATTAGCCACCCTTACACTCACTCAGCCCACTTGCATGCGTACAACTACTTGAATTGTAGACTTGATCCTATTTGCATAAGCCACATCCCTGAATTGTGCTGCCATTTTATCAGGGTATCCCCAGTACGTACACACTCACGCCCTTAAGAGCATTGGCTCAACAGACTTGTCACTGTCTACCACACACACATTCCCCTCCCTGAAAGCGTCTTCTTCAGCCATCATCCTTAATTTATAATCTAAGAGCCAATTCCTGGAGTCCTTTACTCACTATTTACACAGTGAGTGGAAAGTTTTGGAACAGTAGGAGTTCTTTTTCATTCAGCGAGGGTTTTGCCTAAGGACCAAGTAGAAACTGAATAAGGACATCAAGACCTGAAATAATGTTAAAATAATAAATATATTTTATTATGAAAACTATAAAAATATACTGTATATTTTACTTTAATATTTCCCCAATTTATATCCCATTTGGGGAACTTACTGAGTTTCTGGATCTAAAATCATGGTAGAGGAATGAAGCTCTGAAGTACATAGAGAAGTGGATTGGCTGTTTTCAGTATCCAATACTGAAGTATTCATAGCTCTAAACTTACATGTCCCCAGATGTTGGAAAATAGACTTCAACAAAGGTTTCAAGTGCAGGATATTACAAAAATAGCAGAGGAGTTGACGCAAAATGATATGCTAGTTCTTTCACATAATGAGCAGTGGGATAATACCAGATGCGTGTGGGAGTCTGAAGTCAACTTGGGTCTATAATGAGCAACTCTGCTCCTGAGAGGTATTTCCTGTATATTCCGGAGAATCAGGCTATAAAAATCTACTAGAATACAATGGGTTAATCCCCTGTTCTAAATGTCACTGACAGAATCGTGAGCAGTAACCAGCAGAGCCATTTCCTCAGCCGCTGCATGAGAGCTCCATTTTTCTCATTAGTTAGAAGTCAATATCAACCCTTAAGTTAATCATAAATTATGGCAACATTATATCAGCTGGCCTAGTCTGTCTTCCCAATAGAAATGAACATTAAGGTCTCCTGGAATGGAAAATGAGGCACAAGGTGGAAATCAATAGCATTGATTTCAGCATCACTTTTTAAAAAGACTGATCATCATCCTTGCTGCCCGGACGGGAGGCTATTTTTGGTCTGTTATTACACTCACACGCGGGGCCGGCTCTAACTTTTTTGCCGCCCCAGGCAAAAAAGAAGAGCGCCGCCCTGCCGACCCCCCCTCCCCCTGCCCTCCAGCGCCACGCCGCGCTGGGC